ATGAAATGTTCCCTTGGTATCTCTAATTTTCTTGAAGAGATCTCTAGTCTTTCCCATTCTATTGTTTTCCTCTATTTCTTTGCACTGATCACTGATGAAGGCTTTCTTATCTCTCCTCGATATTCTTTGAAATTCTGCATTCAAATGGGTATATCTTTCCTTTTCTCCATTGCCTTTCACTTCTTTTCTTTTCACATAAACCCTCCTCAGACAACCATTTTGCTTTTTTGCATTTCTTTTACTTGTGGATGGTCTTGATCCCTGCCTCCTGTACAATGTCGTGAACCTCTGTCTATAGTTCATCAGGCACTCTGTCTATCAGATCCAGTTCCTTAAATCTGTTTCTCACTTCCACTGCATAATTGTAAGGGATTTAATATAGGTCATACCTGAATGGTTTAGTGGTTTTCCCTACTTTCTTCAATTTAAGTCTGAATTTGGCAGTAAGGAGTTCTTGATCTGACCCATAGTCAGCTCCCGGTCTTGTTTTTGCTGACTGTATAGAGCTTCTCCATGTTTAGCTGCAAATAATATAATCAATCTGATTTCAGTGTTGACCATCTGGTGATGTCCATGTGAACAGATTAAGGAGAGAAATAAAAATGGCAGGTGTCTCATGGGGTTCAGATATCTTATTCCATTGCACTCATGAGATACCCTTTTTAAATGTGCATGAGGAAATTTTAGGAAAAGTAGAGGAGCTTCAAGTCTCATAGTAAGTGTGATGCAACAGGAAAAACAGATCAGGGCATAAACAAAAGGGTCTTGTGGCTTTTTATGAATTAGCCATGTAAGGTAGTGTTATTCAAAAATGGTACCTCATACTTTCCAAACCCATGGACTAAAGTCAAATCATTGCTGGTTTCATTCTACATGAAATTACAGAAAGGTGAAGATAGGGGAGTTAAGGTACACATTTTATAGGTTCCTTTCTGTGGACCAAAATCCTAGAAGAGAGATATATTGATAAATTACACAAAGATAAAGCAGGAGTTTTTCCTACTTCTTATTTGGGACTCCAGAAGCAGAGAATCTTATAAGGGCCCTTTAACCCAACATGAGATCGGCCACATTAGTGCGAAAATAGTAGTATGACACTGTTGGGTAGACAGCAGGACTGAGTCAGTGGTCTGAATCTTCTTTGGATTTTTTATAACATGAAAGTGATTCAGAAGTTGCTACAGGCCTCACGAGGGATAAGGAAGGAGCTGACTTGGGGTTTAGCATGTATGGCATTGCAGAGAGAGCCAAGGTGACTAGGGGCAAAGGTTGCATAATAGACTCTAGAGAGGGAATTGATGAAGGATTGGACCGAGATGTAGAGGATTGTACTGCTACAGGAAGAGCCTCAATGGGGCTGAGCCAGACAGGGAGGTCCTCTGGGTTCCAACCAAGCCAAGAGATGAGATCACTAGTTCTCCAGCTGTAGACTTTACCAAAGACCAGGGTGGTCCAGAGGACACCACTGCATAAATCCAAGACTCCTTCTCTCTTTCCATGTAAGGAAGAGATAGAAGGAGGAAGGAGGGGAAGAGACATGGCAGGGAATTGATCTTTGAATGCCTGAATAATGACCAGAAATGAAACTTTCTTCATATTAGCAACATTTATTTTCTCCTCCAACCAGTGAATGTGTAGGTTAAGCTAGGCTAGATCAGTTTATTTTCTTGGATTTGAGTATTCATATGTAACTATTTCTCCCTCTCTCTGCACATACACATGTTATCAACATATAGTTATATAAATATATATTTACTGAACACTGGCTCCTGATCAACTATCAAATAAAACATAAGATAGTGAGACTAGAATCATTCCAAGTAATTTTAAAGACATCAAAAATGTAATCATTTTGTTATCTCTTGAACCTTCTCATGTTCTTTTGTTTTATCTGTTATTGTTTGTCCTAGACATTTTCCTTAAAATCTCAGACACATCTAAACTCCTTGTACCACATTCAGACACTTTCAAACCTTATCTTTTCTCTCCTGACCTGCCATCTACCTAATAGTTTTCATGCATCTCTCCTCTTCTCTCTTTACCAATTGTTGCTATTGTCCAGAATTTCATAACTTTTCCAGACTCCTGGAATAACCTAACTGCGTGCCATGCCCCCTCATCTTTTGACACCTGACATCTGTTGATTTGATAAAGAATATATCTGACCATATTCACTTGTCTCCTCTAAAAAAATTAAATGACTTCCCATTGATTAAAAAGTGCAGTCAGCCTACTCATAGTCTAGCTAGATCTCACGTTTCAAACCTTTCTTCCTCTCCTCTACCTCATTGCAGTCTCCATCATGACTTGCTATTTTCTGGACTCACTTCGACCTTGTCATCTCTAACTCTAATGGTACCTCTTTTTGAAGGATTCCCTTAAACTCTCTTTTTTTCCTGCTGTTGTACTTTGTGCTTCTGTATAGAACATAGTCTGTGCCATGATGTCTGTGACTGATGGGCTTCCTTTTTAGATTGAGAGTCCCTGGAAGACTTGGACTCCATTGTTGATGATCCCATTCATGAATTAAGTTTGCATCCTTTACCTAATGCAACGGACTGAACCTAGTGTATTTAATAAATGCATGTAAGAGTGCTTCATGGACAGCAAATGGTATGTGAAGAGTAGTCAGTTTATTATTATTTGTTAAATTGAGTTGAATTTACTTTTAAGAGTCTCACCCTTCTCTGGGAATATGACTTCCCATCAGTGGAAATTCTTGAATAATTGATGTGATATCTCAAGATACAGATATATTCTTGGAGGAGAAGGAGGAAAGAACCTGGTTTTGAAATCTCTTTCCTTCATGGGCATGCCTCAGAGGGCCAGCCTTGTCCAGTGCTCCCTATGTATTTCTCTGTGTCCTTATTCACCTCATGCTGAAAATCACAAGCATTACTAGAAATTTCCTCATCAGGGAAGATCAAAGAAGTTACACTGTAATAAGAAATATCAGACTCTGGGGAACTGGCTCTGGATACAGGTTCTACCAGTGCTTACCTTACATGTGAGGCCAAGTATCTCTCTGCTGACCCTTGGACAGTAGGCATGCTATGAATATTATCATGCCTGGCATTTCCTGATACAGGGATTATTTCCATCTCTAGGAATTCCACAGATGTTCTCAGAAGCCTTTGGGACATTTAAGTTTTAAAAATAAACCTTTATAACTCAACACAAATATCCTAGAAATCCATGTGTCAGCCTTTTTCCTTGAAAATATCTGTGGATCTTGCTATCACTTGCATGAAAAAAGAAGGGGAAAGGCCACGAGGTAGATAATGTATTTATAAGTAAAAATGCCCTAAAATATAGCCAATTAGAAATTGGCACAAGCATGTTAAATGTCTGCCAACTTACTCTTTGAGAGCCTTGGAAAACTTGATTAACCCCCAGAAAGAAAGAGGAGGAAGAGAAAAAAGAGGAGGGGTAGGAAAGAAAAAGAAAGGGAGGGAGGGAAGAAGAAAGGAAGGAGGGGAGGAAAAAGTAGGGAGGGAGGGAGAGAGGGAAGAATAAAAAAAGAAAGGGAAGAAAAGAACATGAAAGAGAAAGATATTGAAAGAAATGAACTCCTGGAAGCTGTTTCATATCACTTAGGCAGGCATTTAAGAATTTAATTTTTGAAGCAATGAATTTCCCAAAATCAATTATTTTGGTCAACCTTTGGAGGAAGAAATATCCCAGGTGGGCCTGGATTAAGAGGTTTAAAAGAAAAAAAGATGTTCCCTAGTGAAGGATGCTGTGGAATAGTACCGACTCTCTTCTCAATCAGTCAGTCAGTTCAGTCGCTCAGTCATGTCCAACTCTTTGCGACCCCGTGGACTGCAGCACTCTAGGCTTCCCTGTCCATCACCAACTCCCGGAGCTTGCTCAAACTCATGTCCATCGAGTCAGAGATGCCATCAAACCATTTCATCCTCTGCCGTCCCCTTCTCCTCTCCTGAAACAGTGCAATTGTGAACAGCCATCCTACCTGCTATACTGATGGTGGCTGCAGCCTTTGCAGTACTGAATTTCTCTCCATGCTTATTAGTAGCTATGCATGTGTAGAGTCCTGGCTTGGTGATAAACAGCTGCAGTCTTGAGTCAATTACTCTGTCTTTCACACTCTCTTGAATAGACCCAGAAGAAACCTGGTGGAGTCGGGGGGGGGAAAAGAAGATAGAATTAGATCAAGAATATCTAATATGCTGTGTAAAGTAGACTGGAAAGAAAAAGGATTAGGATTAGGATCAAAAGGCATGTGGTAGATTGCAAAAATTGCCAACAACTTTTGTCTCCCAATGCCCATGACCTTACAATGTGACTTTCTTGCTCTTCCTTTCCGAGGTGGCTTCTTTCTTCATGCTTTGAGTCTTGATTGGCTTGTGACATGTTTTCAAAAGATACAGACACTTGCAATGTTCTTGCACACTGTGGCTTGCTTTCTTGTTTCACTTAGAACCTGTGACCTCCTGTGAACAAGCCAGCGTGGGCCTGATAGAGGTTGAGGCACTTATGGCCCAGTTATCCTTGCTGATGTAGCTGGCAGCCAATAATAACCCCCAGATATATGAGTAAGGCCATTCTAGACCCACTAGCTCCTAGTCAACCTGCCAATCACAGGAGCTAGATCAGCAAGATCAGGCAATCCTTGCCCAAATCAGCAAAACCACCCAGTTGAGCCAGACTTGTGAGCATTAATAAATGGCTCTTGTTTTAAGTGATCAGGCTTTGGGACGTCTGTGATGTGACAGTAGATAACTAACACAAGCTAGAAAAGATACCCTGTGTGTATCCTCCAAGATAGATCTCTATGTCTTAAAGTTAGAGACAGTCAATTATGAGAGGTAATAGAGTTTTGGAGTTATTTTCATAATTCTTTTCCAGATTCCCCCCCCACCCAAATGCACAACAAATAGTGGATGGTTAACAAGAAAAAAAACGGTTGTGAAGTCAGTCCTGTTTCTGCATTATGACCTATATCAGAAAATCAAATATCCTGGAAGAGCCAGGCTACCAATACCATATTAGTGCATAATTGACTGGTTAATATACCTAAATGCTCTTTAGTCATCAGCATGCCAGCTATAAGAAAGACAGCTCCCAGTACATTCTTTTGGGTTGTGGAGTTCCAATTTACATGCTAGTTTGTCTGACCCCCAAAGTGTGTGCTTTTAATCTTTATGTTTTACTGCCTTGCCTACTAAAACTGAATAGTCATTAGAAAAGAAGAGCAGTAACAACAAAGCCTCAAATCAACCATGAACAAAATAAACCTCTGACTTAAATGTCATTGTTAAGGTGGTGACATTTCTTAAACTGGTGATTCTTTCTTCACTGCTTTCTTAAGCACTCTGCCATTTTTTCAGTTATTTTTTTTCATTATCATTGCTTATCTGAGGGGGAAATTGTTAGTTTGAGAGAATTGTGAATGGACTGACAATCAAGGAATCAGCTAATGGTTTACCTTGAGCAGGAGTAGGAGTGGGTACCTTGGTGGCCTTGAAAAAGATCTTTCTGTCTAGTAGTAGAGAACTTTGCAAGTTTGTTTCTTCTTTCAAGAAGTAGGTCTGTACTGTGGATGCCTAGGAGACAACTCAGAAATGAGTAATCCCCTAAATGCTGACTAAACTTGCACTATTTTCATGTTCACACCTAAGAAAGTCACTCCTCAAGGTCACTGAAAACATTCTTGGGAGGAAAGCGAAATGACTTTTAAGCCGCCTGACCTCCGTCCTCCTGGACATCATCCAGGTGCTGACATAGTCCAGCGGGTAGACCGTCAAGTTCCAAGGCTCATTGCCTGATGATGATGTGGTTCCTAAGTGCTTTTCCTCCTGTTTCCAGAGGCCTGGCTTGATTCAGTTTGTGACTCATGCACAGCAGGCCTTGTTAGTCATCATTTGAATTTGTTTTTCTTTCTTCATGGAGCAATCTGACCAACAGTTTAGTATTTTTCATGACCTAAAATTCAGAACACCCCCTTGCCCTGCATTTTGATCATTTTGCCTTTCAGATTTAAAAGCTCAAAAGGATGAGTTCAGATTATGCCTGGGAGCTTTAAGCAAGGTATGCTGAGGCAACGGTAAGGGCTTCATTGAGGTGACTTTATCTGGTATTACAGTAAATATGTTTTTTCTCCAAGTCACCCAGGCACACTGACCTGAAAGCACTGGATAAAGAGTTCTCTGTTCTGTGTGTGGGGGTGAGACTGTGACATCAGATGAGGCCATCGAACAGGCACTCTATTAAATAGGCATATTAGTTCACACCTGATAAAATGTATGTAAAAGTCTTCTGAAGGAGACAACATAGGAGGAAAACTTTTTACATATCATTAATAATGCTGTTTGGAGAGAATTTACCCCCAGTTATGGATAATCCTATAACTTCATCATAATTTGACCTCTGAATGGTATTCTGGCTTCTATGACCTTGTCATGCAGCAAATAGTCCCAGTTGGCTAGAACTATCTCAGGGAACTTTAGGATGTGGCCTAATATGGTCCATGTCTAGGGAGTTGTAAAAATGTCTGTTTATGCATCATAGAAAAAGGGACAGTCTGGCTGAGAAAATTTCCCATTCTGTTTCTGATCAACATAGCCATGAATATTGACCTCTTTCAATCTGGCTGCTGAGACAATCCACATAATATATTCCACTTGATATATGTAATTATCTTGGGTTTACACAGTAAGAGAAGATGATTCCATAGCTCATGTCCTTTAAACCAAAAAACTGCCTCTTAAAAATATGTATAAAATATAAGTGAGCTTCCCTTTAAGGAAATTCAAAAACCACGATCTTCAACACAGATTTGGCTGTTCATTTTGAAAACTCTTCTAATAAATTAAAATGATTGAACTTTTAACATGTTTTAGGAGTTATAAATATATCTTTTGGACAAAGCAAGAGAGCTGTGCAAATTTTTTATTTGAATGCCAAAATAATAGAGTTGGATTTAACTTTAAATCTGGTTATCAAAATATGAGGATATTTTCTTTTAGAAAAGTAATCTCTGCTGTAGCCATAAGTAGTAATAAGTAACAATACCAAAGTATTGTTTCCAATGTTGTAAAACAAAAGGGATATTACTGCTCACTCTGAGTTCATCTAAGACTACAAATTTTCATGAAAGATAAGTGATATCTCAATAGGAAGAAAGCAAAAGAATTTTTTATCACTTTGGGGCAATTTCCTTGCCGTTCTCTTATTCTTTGACTGTAAGCATTCAGGGTTTAAGTTTACTGGCATGTTCATGTATGAGGATGAAGGAGCATTCACATCTTTTAAAGTACTTATTATACTTTAATACTTTAGTGTGTTAGTGAAGTTAGTTCACTGCCTTATAGTTAGTTAAAGGACACAGTTCAAATCCTGTCTTATTCTGTGCCAAATTGCTCCCGGCTCTGCATTTGTCTTAATCCTGCCCACCCAAAATGATCCCGGGTCTGTGGACTCTTCCCTGTTCTCAATAGACTTCTCTGGCTGGCTACTTGTCTGACATTAAGTGCCTAAAATTGCCTCCATTTCCTGTGATTTGCATCAGCACAGGGCAGTCATCTCAATTTCTAGTTGGACTTGGATAGGAGCACCAAGAACAAAACTTGGCCCTAAGAGCAAACCCTCTCTGACCATGAGAACTGCAGATGTCCTTTTGCTTTCCTCCTGGAGGAAAGTCACTGTTCGTTTATTTTATTCCTGTTTTAGAATCTCCGGCAAAGAATCTATTTTGCTTTCTGTTTTTTTGTGAATCACATCTTGAGAGATGAAGTTGGAGTCTCAGTAAGACCAAAACTAACTCAAACCATCTGGCTTTTAAAAATTACTTCTCAACTCCAACAGAGAATAATCATATATCTTCCAGTTCTAAACTCATACAAGCCTTTTAAAGAGTGAGACAAATTAGTAAAGTCATATTGTCAGTTCCCCAGTTTTCTTAGGGAATCTCTTTATACTACTTTGAAAGGCTTAAGACAGCTCCTACAGCTTCATGGAAAAGCCACAAAATGTACTGTCAAATAAGATTTGAGTTGTAAATGATACCTGAAGTTTAATTAGAGAACTAAAGAAGAACAAGGTTACAAGTTACTTTAACACGTTTAAGCCAATCACAGATTAGTAGTCGCCCTTGGTCCGTAGCAGAAACAAACAAAAATTCTCTGGAGAAAAGAACCTTTATCTAGACCTCAAATTAACCTCTGACATTTTTTTTTTTCTCAAAACAGTGAACAGCAGGTAGTCAAAGATAACTAGGCACACAAGGAAACAAAACACAATGAAAGAAAATCAGCAGTAAAACAGACAACAGAAACAGACCTACAGAGGCATTCCATTTCATCCAGATGAAGTCAAATGTATCCATGACCTATGTAAGCCTGTAGGATCGACAGTCCCTATACACACACCTTACCTCTTTCCTCTAGCCACACTGACCTACTTGCTGTACCTCTGACATTCCAGGTGTATGCTTATTTCAGAGACTTTTCCTGGTTGTAATCCCCCTGTTATATACATAGCCTCCTCGTTCAGCTCTTTGCTTAAATATCTTCATCTTAATAAAGCTTCTTTGACCACTTTATTGAAAACAGAATCTTCCTCCTGAGGTTGTGTTTTCTCACTTTTCCGCTTTATTTTTCTCCATGGCATTGGACACTATTCACACAGAGTATAGATTCTACTGTCTGCTTATTTTATTGTTTGTTTTTTTCCAATGTTAGTGTAAGAAACTTGAGGATAGGAAACTATACTTGTTCTGGTTGCGCCTGTATGTACAATGTCTAGAATAATGCCTGATGCCCAGGAGATGCTCAATATTTGTAGAATGAATAAATGAATGCTTTTATGTAAACTGCTTAGAACAGGGCCTAGTCATAGCAATCACATACTATATACTAGCTACTATTACAAGTATTAGAAATGAAAATAAAATGTTGCACTAACGGACATGTATTCTAATTCTGGATTGCTTTTCATCAAAGTAGGCTCCAGCAGTGAACTAATCCTTCAGCTGATGATTTTTGTGTGGGAAGGAATTATTACCACTTCTCTTTTNTTACACAAAGTGTAAAGAATAAATTTGGTTTTCTACTATTCCCTATGATATAAGGAAAGAAGTAAACCTATGGAGTTCAGTTTATAGACAGTGACTTCTAGAATGAAAATATTGGAAGATTTTGAAAAATGGAGATTCAGGTGAGACCAATGACAGAGATCATGGTAACTCTACAAATATGTTCTCAGCCCTAAAATTCAACACCTGTGGGTCTCCCCCAGACAAGTCCCCATACAGATGGAACTCACAGCAATTCCGTTTTCAATCCAGGTGATGGTGGGGACAGGGATGCCTGTGGCTGTACAGCGCAGGGCCACAAAGGAGCCAAAGGTGACATTGTGGGATTCAGGAGCCCGCAGGATTCTGGCAAAAACTGTTAGGAAAAGAGAAGTGGTGAGCGACTCTCCCACTGGGAATGGTCAAGCTGGAGTAGTCTTGAATAAATGCAAATCAGATCATGGTCTCCTGTGAAGGATCCTCCACATGCCTTCTATCTTAAGGATAATACCAAATGCTGTGCCCTGGCTTCTCAGCCATTTATGCTGTGACCCTATGCTTCACACCACTCCAGGATACACCAAGCTTGCTCCCAACTTAGATGATTCCCATGCCATCCCTCAGTCTAGAGCACTCATCCCGTACATCTTGTGGTAGTTTTCTTATATCATCTAAGCCTCCATTCAAGTGATACTTTCAGAGAAAGGCCCTCCTTGACTGCCCACTGTAAAGTCTAACCTTTCTCCCATTCACTTTTTCATCATCCTATTTCATTGTCTTTATAGACCTCACCACGATCTAAAGTTATTTATTTTTATCTATTGTCTGTCTCCCTGCAGTAGATTGTGAGTCATCAGCAACCAAAAACCTTGCCTATTTTGTTCAGTACCTAGGAGAGTGCCTACCAAAGTAATAATATTTAGTTGAATTAATGAAATAATTAATTAATGTTTTACATCTTCAACTATATCATGGTAGAATGACAGACAAAATCTGTTAAACTTTTATGAGAATGAGATGAGCATGCAGGGTCAAAACAAAAAGGAATATTTTAGACAAAGATGGACAGGATAAGGAGTAATTTTATTCTTTTCTAAGGCTGAATGCCCTTCCTCAGTGATCAATGCAAAGAAATAGATGAAGACAATAGAATGGGAAAGACTAGAGATCTCTTCAAGAAAATTAGAGATACCAAGGGAACATTTCATGCAAAGATGGGCACAATAAAGGACAGAAACAGTATGGATCTAACAGAAGCAGAAGATATTAAGAAGAGGTGGCAAAAATACATAAAACTGAACAAAAAAGATCTTCAAGACCTAGATAATCACGATGGTGTGATCACTCACCTAGAGCCAGATATCCTGGAATGTGAAGTCAAGTGGGCCTTAGGAA